CACCGCAACTCATCACAGCTCATCACAGCACCGCTTATCACACCTCACTCATCACAGCACATCATCACACAGTTGCACTGTCACAGCCCACTCATCACAGCACAACTCATCATCACACAGCTGCACAGCACAACTCTCATCACACCACTTGTGACAGCACAACTCATCATCACACCGCTGCACTGCACACACAGCTGCACTGCACAACTCATCACACCACTTGTGACAGCACAACTCATCATCACACAGCTGGCTTTCGTGTGGCAGGCGCACTACACAGAGCCTTCTGCAGGAGCTGCTGCGCGCGTGGCCGCCGCTGGCAAAGGCTGCTGCGCGCGTGGCCGCCGCTGGCCCGCGGCTGGCTTTCGTGTGGCAGGCGCAGTGCACAGAGCCTTCTGCAGGAGCTGCTGCGCGTGTGGCCGCCGCTGGCCCACGGCTGGCTGGCGTGTGGCAGGCGCGCGTGTGGCCGCCGCTGGCCCGTAGCTGCCGGTCGCCGCCGGTGGGCTGCGGCTGGCTTTCGTGTGGCGGGCGCGGTATACAGAGCCTCCTGGAGGACGCGTGTGGCCGCCGCTGGCCCGCGGCTGGCTGTCGCATGGCAAACGCAGTACACAGAGCTTTCTGGAGGAGCTGCTTGTGCGCGTGGCCGCTGCTGGCCCCCGCCGCTGGCCCGCGATCTGTGTGTAGACATCATGACGATGGCTGCAAGGTTTGGAGCTCAGTCCGTCTTCTTCGCATGGCCGCCGCTGGCCCGCGGCCGGCTATCATGTGGCAGGCGCAGCACCTCCTGGAGGAGTGGCTGGCTGTCACAGGCGCAGCACACGCAGAGCTTTCTGGCATGTGGCCGCCGCTGGCCCGCGGCTCAGCTGGCTTTCGTGTGGCAGGCGCAGTACACAGAGCCTCCTGGAGGAGCTGCTGCGCGCGTGGGCGCCGCTGGGCTGTGGCTGACTTTCGTGTGGCAGACGGGCTTTCGTGGGAAAGGTGCAGTACACAGAGCCTCCTGGAGGAGCTGCTGCGCGCGTGAGCGTTTTGCGTGGCAGGCGTGGCACTTGGCGACATGGACCTTCGTTTTGCGTGGCAGGCGTGGCACTTGGTGACATCCACGCTGCAAGCGAGTCCATTTCTCTCAAATACGACCTTGTCACACACACATACACAACTTTGTCACGCACAATCTTTCACATCTCTCTCTCACTTGCAGCTTTATCGCACACAACTTTGTCAAACACGGACACAACTTTTTCACACACATCTCTCTCTCACACTCAACTTTGTCACCCACAGCTTTGTCACACACACACACAACTTTGTCACCCACAACTTTGTCACCCACAAGTTTGTCACACACACAACACTTTGTCACACAATCTTTGTCACACACAACTCTTTCGCACAACTTTTTCACACACATCTCTCTCACACACACAACTTTGTCACCCACAACTTTGTCACACACAATCTTTCACACACATCTCTCTCACATGCAACTTCTCTCTCACACACATCTTTGTCACACACAACTTTGTCACTCACACACAACTTTGTCACACACAACTCTTTCACACACAACTTTATACAACTTTGTCACAGACAATCTTTCACACACAACTTTGTCACACGCAATCTGTCACACACAACTTCGTCACACACACACAATCTTTCACACACAGCTTTGTCACAGACAATCTTTCACACACAACTCTTTCACTCACAACTTTTCACACACAACTCTTTTACACACACAACTTTCTCGTCACAACTCTTCACATAGAAATAGAACTTTTAAAATGATTTATCCTCCATCCACCATCTCCTTTGTCTTTTCTTCTTTCTCCGTGCCACTGCAACCACTTTTTCTGATGATTGGAAGAAGTTGACTTGTGGGGTTATCCGGTCCTTTTATTTCTTTAATTGATTTATCTATCCCTGTATCTCTCCCTGTATCTATCCCATCTATCTAAACCTGTGTGTATCCCTCTATCCATCTGTCTCCACATCTGGCCACATCTATTTATGCCTTCCTCTTCTATCTATACCTCTATCTATCAATCCATCTCTATCTACCTGTGTATGCATCTCTATCCATCTAGTCTGTGTCTGTCCATATTCATCTCTTCCAATCTATCCCACTCTAACCCAAACGAACCCAATGTAATCCAATCTAATCTAATCTTACCTAATCTGATCTAATCTTTCAATCCCTCCATTCCATCCGTCCATCCGTCCATCCATCAATCCATCCGTGCATCCGTGCATTCGTCTATCTGTCTATCTGTCTATCTGTCTATGTGTCTATGTGTCTATGTGTCTATGTGTCTATGTGTCTATGTGTCTATGTGTCTATGTGTCTATGTGTCTATGTGTCTATGTGTCTATGTGTCTATGTGTCTATGTGTCTATGTGTCTATGTGTCTATGTGTCTATCTGTCTATCTGTCTATCTGTCTACCTGTCTATCTGTCTATCTGTCTATCGATCTATCTATCTATCTCTCTCTCTCTATA